ATTAAGAGCAAAGTGGAAATGCAAGAGGACTAAGGGAAAATCATGATGGATGATTTTGTGATTGATTATACTGGAGTTTAGTGGGTTGGTCAGACAGAAGGAAAAATAAAGCATCATCCAAGATTTAGGGTTGTATGCTTTGAATAATATTGCTGTCATTAAGAGAAATAGTACTGAATGAAATTATTCATGAGATTGTCTGAAACCTGAATTTTTTTGTGTGTGAAATTAACTGCGGACAAAATGAGTATGTAAACAATTCAGCTTGGAAAACATTTTCTTCAAACAGATAGTAGGATCTCAGCGAATTGCATGGAGTCAAGCCTGTCCCAGTGGCCCAAAAGATATGACCATAGTTAAAAGAAGCAAGTTTCTATGTGTGACCAACCTACTTCTGTACTTTTCTTCTTCCAGTACCTATTTAAGTTCCCTGGGTTTCCTGCAGCGAGGAACACTCAAATCTCCTTTGGTTCAGAGTGTCTTTTTTTTTTTAAATTTATTTATTTTTTTATTTTACAATACCATTCAGTTCTACATATCAGCCACGGATTCCCTTGTTCTCCCCCCTCCTGCCCCCTCCCCTTCCCCCCAGCCCACCCCCCATTCCCACCTCCTCCAGGGCAAAGCCTCCCCCAAGGACTGAGATCAACCTGGTAGACTCAGTCCAGGTAGGTCCAGTCCCCTCCTCCCAGGCCGAGCCAAGCGATCCTGCATAGGCCCCAGGTTTCAAACAGCCAACTCATGCACTGAGCACAGGACCCGGTCCCACTGCCTGGATGCCTCCCAAACAGATCAAGCCAATCAACTGTCTCACCCATTCAGAGGGCCTGATCCTCCCCTCAGCCATTGGTTCATAGTTCATGTGTTTCCAGGAATCCTCCTTTGCTCAGAGAAACTGTCAGCTACTACAGTTACTTTTTTCCCAAGACTTAGGAATTCAACCTCTGGATGCCAGTTGGGGATAGAAAGTCACAAGTATGATTTTCAGCCTCTGAGTTTAAAAGGAAAGAAAGCTATTGGAACAGTTTATTATTGTCAGAGAGTCGGTGCTGCCTCTTTCAGGAGGAAGACAAGTTGCACATGTAATACCCAAGAAATCATCCTAATTATGAGGATTTATGAGATCTAACAAGTGTCTGATATTGTACTCGATAACCCACAGATAAACATTTCGTACAATCACAATTGTGCCAAGATCTTTCTTCTTACTTCGGTAGTTTAGACTTGGGAAAGTTTGAAGACTGCCGTATGAGAGCTTCTTGCAGACTATTTCAAATCGGACCTCCCCCCTAATCTGTTCTTTACATAACATAGCTACTGAATAACTTTTATCCTCAGTTTAACATAATTTCTTTGTAAGACCCTGCATTAGTTAGGGTTTCATTGCTGTGAAGAGCAACTCTTATAAAGGAAAGCATTTAATTGGGGTGGCTTAGAGTTTCTCAGGTTTAGTCCATTATCATCAGAGTGAGCCATGACAGTTTGCATGAAAACGTGGTGTTGGAGTTGAGAGTCCTTACATCTTGTCTCAGAGGTAACAGGAAGTGGTCTCAGACACTGGGCAGAGTCTTGAGCATATATGAAACCTCAAAGCCCACCTCCATAGTGACACACTTCCTCCAAAAAGACCACACCTACTCCACAAGGCCACACGCCCTAATAGTGCCGCTCCCTTTGGGGGTCATTTTCTTTCAAATCACTACAGACCCATTATCTCCACTATGTATTAGATTTCTTAAAATTTCAGTTCTGTGGTGGTCACAAATTTCCCATTTTTTTTTTTTATGGAAGTAGGTTTAGCCAGTAATATTTAGTTTTATTTGTCAGTTTGATACAACCTTGAATCCCCTGTGAAGACACAGTCATTGAAAAACTGTCTAGATCCAGGTGGCCTGTGGGCATGTGGGTGGGAGGTTATTTTAATCAAGTTGGTTGAGATGGAAGGAATCCCTGGCTGTAAGTAGCATCATTTCCAAGGCAGTCCTGGACTGTACACACAAGGAGGAAGAGAGCTGAGCACTGCTATGCGTGCATTAATCCATTTCTCTGTGTTTCTTCACTTCGGATGCAGTATGCCTGACCGTCTCAAGCCTGTGTCGCCGTGAATTCATCCCCAAAATGGACTGTAACATGGAAGAGTGAACAGAAATCCTTTCTCTCCTGAGTTGCCTTTGGCAGGGCATTTTATCACAGCCACAGAATGAAACTGGGAGAAGACTCCACAATACATTTCTTCCAGGCTAAAGTTACAAACATGATAGAGGACGTGGGTATGAAAACTGAAATTAATACTTTTATAAACTTCATTAACAAAATTACAAATGAATAAAAATGTCACACCAAAATTAAGACCCAATTCTATTCAACTCAATTAACTTCTATTAAGTTAGAATGAGCCGGGCGGTGGTGGCGCACGCCTTTAATCCCAGCACTCGGGAGGCAGAGTCAGGCGGATCTCTGTGAGTTCGAGGCCAGCCTGGGCTACCAAGTGAGTTCCAGGAAAGGCGCAAAGCTACACAGACAAACCCTGTCTCAAAAAAGCAAAAAACAAAAAACAAAAAAACAAACAAAAAAAGTTAGAATGAATAGGCACTCAGGACAGAAGCTGTAGAGTGTCACAATGAATTTTATGCTTTCATTACTGAATATATTTTATGAACTTATTCATCACAAAAACAAAAAAAACATGACAAAATTATAACAACAAAACAACCAAGTAGCCCTATATCCTCTTTAATATGTCATGCCATCTCCTTCATCTTTTCCTTTCTCATTCCTTATATTTAGGCTTTCTTCTTTTTTCTTCACATTATATTATACCCACATGTACGGTTGTTGAAATATATACATATATCATTTGTAAGATTTGGCAACTGAAAGAGAAAAATGCAGATTCTTAATATTATACACTTCATGTTCATCCATTTTGATGAAATTTTTTAACTTCATTTTCCTTAGAGCTCAATGATGTTCACCCTAATATTGTTAATATTAATATTATTGTCTACTTTTCAAATTCTTAAATTGATATAAGACATTGTATATATGTGCATATCTATATGCATAAACATTTAAGTTTTGAAGTAATAGCATGTCTTCTAAATTATATTCTTAAACTCAAAATCATATGCTATCAAAGATTCAAGACTTGCTAAGGTTTTAGGTTTCCTCTAGATTTAAAATATTCAATAATTATAGGCATTGAACTTGAAAGACAGAATATCTGCTTCTTATAAGACTTTTCCTCACGAGTTTTTAAAATTCTTTTTAGAAATCTATTCTTTCAAAATCATACCTTTCACAATGAAAACCTAATTGAAATCATCTCTGCCAGCTCTTTGAAGTTGTTAAACAACTACGTGAGAAGTGTGATTTTAGAGAGTGAGAGAAAGTTGTATTTGACATAACCTAAATTGACTTAGAGATTATCTGAGTGCATCACCAAAAGTCGCTGACATTTGAAAATAAAAAACAAACAAACAAATAGATATTGACTTTGAGTTAAGTTATTGAAGAATATAATTCATACCTTCTCTTCGAATGGTAAAAAATTCGCCCCATATTAAAGCATGCCTGCAGATTTCTCATTTGTGGACAATGCACTGAAATGCTGACAATAGATAAGTTATGTTCACCATCTCTCATCAGCATCCTGTAGGAGCACAGTATACATCCAGAGCTATTAGGAATGATTATCATGGGACTAAAAGAGATCTTGAATATTTAAGCAGACACTTCATATCACAGTTCCTCCTTACTTTGCTTCCAGAAGCTTCTATTAAAAAAAAGAGATAGGATTATATGGGCCAAGGGTGAATTGAGAAAGTTGAATGTAATATCCTTCTATTAACTTATATAATCTTGTCATAGAAGTACATATCCAAGCAAAACAGTCATTCCAGAAATTTTTGAAATATTATATCTATAAATACTTGGATAATTCTACTTATATCTGGCAAACATTTTATATGTTAGTTCCATGAAAACATAAACTTTTTTTCATAAAACATAATTGGGGTATTTTTTTCAGTATATAATTGTAATGCATCTAAAAATCCATATTGGTTCCAATAAAGACATGTCATGTAGGACTGGAAAAATATTTTGAAGCTTTATACATAATATAACCATGAAATATTATGAGGTAAGTAAACACTAAGTAGAATTCATTTTTAGTATAATAAAAGTATTTAAAAAGTAGGATTGCTTTTAAAATCTTGGTCAATTATTTAATCCTAATAAAAAACATGTTTATATATTATCCAGGATCTAATATAAAATCTGTGAAATACATTGTAAGTATAAAACTTTTGGACAAATTTTATAACAAAAAGGTGATTCTTCTCACATGGAAATGAAATTGGTTTTTCTTGATGGTATATTCTAAGTCTACTCCCTTGATTTAAAGTATCTGTGCGTGATGGTCTTTCATTAGTTTACACAAATCTCTGGACTGACAAACTACTTCTTATTCATAAGGAACTGCCTTGCAGCTATGCACTCTAATTAATCAAGGTCATTTGAATACATTTTGCATGAAGCACCTAAAGCTCGGAGTGCCATTCTGCGTATTTATCAAATGACTAATCAATATGCTGCACCACAGTACCACCAGGCTTTCAGCTATCCAAGGATGCCATATGAATTAGAACTGTTCAAGCTGTCATCTGCATAAACAGAATTAGTGCATGCCATTAAATTTCATGGGACAGAGCAATGAGATGTGTTTTAAATAGAAAGAGTCACCATCAGTATTTTACTTAAGTTTAAAATGCTTCATTTTAAACTTCCACAAACCTTGTATTAAGCTGGCTTCGATTTCACTTTCTTTCTCCAACATATTACCTCCACTCTATTGGTAAAGTAATTTATTCCATCCTCTGTGGAGAGCCAGGATCTTATTTGCCAGCATATTTATCTTTCCTGCCACTGCACTGTCATTCATCTGCAATCTCCACGGAGGACCAGACCTGTGCAGAATTGCAATTAGGATTGATTCAACTAAATCCAGGCCACAAAGCTGATGCTGACAGGGTGACCTGAAGAGAATTTAAGATGTGAGGTTAGAAAACACACACGAGAGAAAAAGAAGGTATTTAAATCCACAATTCATTATGTTTTCTGTTGCTTGTTATAATTAGATCAGAATGAGCACTTTTGTTCATTTTTAGAATGATTGTGAAAAAGTTAGACAGCGTTTGAGCAATTTTTGAAACAACAACAACAAATACGTGCATGCAAATCTCTATGTTGAGATTGAAACAGCAGTTTGTAAAGAACAAAAATCCATTTTCTGTGGTTGGGCACCTTAAGGTTTTTCCTCCATGTGAGGAAATAAACACAATAAAGTTCCACAGATGAGATGCTCGGCTTCCATATCCTTGCGGGGACAGATCCTCACTAGTTCTAGCATAATCACCAAGGAAACCTCACCTGCATGTCACTTAAATGCTCTGATAGAATTTCCTAAATAATTCTCCATTCAGTGAGATAGTTTTGTGATTTCAAAAGGCAGTAGCTGCAAGCTCAGGTAATAACCTAAGAGTATTTCTTCTGACCTGTCATATATGACATGTCATATCAATCCTCAGCTTCTACACTTTACATTAGGAGTTGCCTATTATTGATGACCTGTCTTCATCCCACTTATATCGCAGGGAGAAGGAGAGTTTGCCATTGGGGAATGAGTCAAACTTCCTCCATAAAGTGAAAAAGGAAATTGGAAATGGAAAATAACAGTGGCTGAGTAATCTTCCCTAAGGAGATTTCTTTACTCTTTTTTTTTTCCTCTTGGGAAAGAGAACTTTGCTTTCCCGGAGGGAAGATGTTGTATGTGCAAGAACAATTTGATTTATTCTAATAAGAGAAATGAGAACATCACAGAAAGCAAAATTCAATAAAGAAAAATCAAACTGAGCAAAGGACAGGATTATGGAATTTGGTGAACAGAATTGGGCATGAGGTGTCAAAACTCTCTTCATGTTTTTCTGCTTAACCAAGTCATTTCATGTAAAATGGATGAAAAGGATCACCCTACAGTGCAGTGAAAGTCTGTCAAAAATGTTTCATAATGACATTAAGACTTTAAGATTTTTTGAATGTACACTGCAATTAATTTTGTGAGGCAAAGAATTGTGAGACTTATTTTCTTTTATAAAGACTCCATTTTCAATAGAGAAAAAGAAACTCTAATAGGCAATTAATCTGAGTTTTCTCCATTCTAGGTCAAGAAAATCACTGAAATCGCAGGGCTGACAACTTGCGCTCAACTTCATAATTGTACACATAAAGTAAGTATACTTATGATCTTATTCAAATTACTTTTGCATGCCTTTGCTAAAAATCTTAAATTTTCTAGTATCAGAGGCAGATTCTACAATACATATAATATGTATTCAAGAATATCATACATACACACATACATACATATATACATACCTTTGGAGAATATTTAACCACATTGCCTTTTAGAAGCACTACCCTCATTAATCAAAGAGCATGATGTTGTTTGTCTTCATGCCACCAACCATATTTTTTTCACCATCACACAGAAATTTGTCTATTAGATATATGGAATTTTTATTCATATAGCTGAATCCTTGAATTCACTGAAGCAGCAAGAGAAACATAAAATATTAAATATTCAAAGAATTCATGAATGTAGTTGAAGATATGATTGTGACTACTTAAAGGGGGATTTCCTCTTTCAGTTTACAACTACCAATTGCTCTTATCCAATATTCAGAGGTCTCCAGAAATGAAATTATTGAGTAGTTATGACACTTAGGCAGTTACAATGTTGATTTTCAGTTTTACATCATGGAAACTGTTCTGCAATTACCAGGACTCTCAGAGATTAGGTTAATCAAATATTGATTTAGAGCACAGAATAAAGCCTTTTCAAATTGAGTCTATGAGTCTGGGATGCAGCAGCTCAATGGAGAAGACTTGCCTAGAATCTGCAAAGGCTTGGTTTGGACCTAGCTTGGCCCAAATAAGTGAGAATAATATGTATATTATAAACATGTATATCACATATATCATGCCTACAATAATAAGCATGATAGTTTAGTTTTTTACAACTTTGTCCTTTCAAAACTAAAATTCTTAATAACGCTAAAATTAGAGTCATAATGCTATGTTTGTGAATTTGGAAAATATTCAATTCAAAAAATTTTCTGCTCTTAATCATATCCATATTAAGGAAGGAACAGTTAATGGTAATCTTAATCAACTAAAATGGTTAAGTTTTTAATATATCTTCAGTATTTCTTATTAGTTAAAAAATCTGCTGGGCAGTGGTGGCACACGCCTTTAATCCCAGCACTCGGGAGGCAGAGCCAGGTGGATCTCTGTGAGTTCAAGGCCAGCCTGGTCTAGAGTGAGTTCCAGGAAAAGCACAAAGCTACATAGAGAAACCCTGTCTCAAAAAACAAAAAACAAAAAAAAATCCAAAAAGAACAAAAAACCTTCTATTAGGTAACTACCATGCTGTGCACATGCTTTCATTGGAATACTTTTCTTAACTGTATTTCAATTGTTGTCTTTTTATAAGTTCTTTCTGGTATCGTCTAAGGGACTGAAAATATTAGTCAGAATTATTACTTACTTTATGGACTTTATGTTAAGATCTTTCTATAAATGGTCAATGTTACTTGCATTAGGTAAAGTATTTTCACATTCACTTTCTGATAAATCACAGGATATTCACTTAAACACATCCTAGAAACAACTCTGTTTAGCTGAAATTTTTCTGGTCCCGCCTGGCTCCCAAGGCCCACAGTCCCACAGCCTTTTATAAAATAATCACACAGAGCCTTAATATTGCTTCTAACTGCTCGGCCATTTGCTCAGGCTTAATACTCACTAGCGCTTACACTTAAATTAATCCATTTCTACAAATCTACACTTTGCCATGTGGCTCGTGGCTTACTGGTACTTTACATCTTGCTTCTCCTGGCAGTGGCTGTCAGCGGCTCCTCTCCTCTGCCTTTCTCCTTCCTCTCTTAAAATCTTCTTTGTATCCCCATAAGAATACAGCACCATCTATCAGCAGGAAGTACCCTAGAAAACTATGCCCACATTACCAAAAACTGGATTGTGGTTGTTTGTCTTTGTTTAGGTTGTTGGTTACAAATTATTATTGGTCATAGTCAATCTCTTTCTCAAATAAGAAAGGGAGATATGATATAGAAAAATAAGATAAATATTTTACATTGCTATAGATTTTAGTTTATTGATACAAATTTAAAGTTAATTTTGTTATACCATATGTATATTTCTACTCTTGTTTAAAGTATTTTGTTTGTGCAACTCATATGAGAGTGTAGTGTATAGCTGAGAAATACAGATTAATATTTAATCATCTATGATAATCAAACTTGTAGTCATGTTACGTTTTCTAGGTATACATAGATATAATGCAGTCAGGTAGGTAATCTTTAAACACTTCAAAGACCTACAGAATATGGCATTTAAAATGTTTTAAAAACTTTGACTTTCTGGACATTGAGACATGTCTGCTCCTGGCAACACCAATCTACTTCAGAGAAGATAATTGGCATTGAACAAACTCATTATGGAATTTGCATTCTTTGTGGCAAAAGTTAGCCACTGGGCACAAAAGTGCCCTGGTGTTGACTGCTTGATAAAATGTTGTATCAACTGGACATGCAGGACCCACAGGAAGGTGACCACTGAAATTTGCAAGATGAGATGATCCTTTAGGTTCCTGCTTCACAGAAGAAACTGCCAGACATTCTACGGGACACACAGAGAAGCAACTGAGAGACTCTAGGCCTGTAGGCTGAAAAATGGACACCCCAGTGTTGCAGAAGAGCTTTGGATGACTGTCCAGGCAGCCAGCTGTCTCTGACATTCTAGATTTCTGAAAGTTGCTTACAATGCTCTTCATGTTTACTTAGATAATATTGTATACTTCTGAGGTCTTTGATGTAGTTGAAGACTAGATAGTTATAATTATGGTTTTCCTTGGTTAAGATAAGAGGTAAGGTAGATATGAAAGTTTAGACTCACAAATATAGGATAGATAGGCTATCTTCTTTAATCTTGCCAAATACAAATAGACTACATATTTATAACTATAATTCTTGCTTGATAACTGTTTCATTATATTTAATTTTACTATGTTGAAGGTAAAACCCTCCTTTTGAATAGAAAGTAAAGGGGAAATGATGGGTGATGTTGTTCTGTATGCTGTGAATATGTGTTGCTCTGATTGATTGATAAATAAAGGTGTTTGGCCAATGGTGAGGCAGAATAAGGTTAGGTGGGATATTTTTACTAGAGAGAGAGGAAGGAGACAGCCAGAGAGAGGAGATGCTGCTAACCACTCCTGGGAGAAGCAAGATGTAAAGATACATCTTGGGAAGCTACAAGCCATGTGTCAAAGTATAGATTTATAGAAATAGATTAAGATAAAGGAGCTAGCTAGCAAGAAGACTGCCATGGCCACAGTTTTAAAATAATATAAGCCTGAGTGTGTTTATTTGGGTCCAAAAGGCTGCGGAACTGCAGGACTGTGGGAGCCAGGTGGGACCAGAAAAACTTCACCTACAACTCTGAGCATTAAAACCGTGGTGTGTGGCATGAACTGACTGGAAACTGTAAATAGATCTTCATGCTTACGTGATTTATTTATTTTCTTTTCTTATTAGCTATTTGAGAATTTAATACAGTGAATTTTAATCATATGCAATCCCCACCCCTACTCATCTCACATCCATCCCAACTTTTCTACTCATCCAGTTTTATGCCTTTTTTTATTTTTAACCTAACAGGTCCAATTTTCACTGCTCATATTTTCTTGGCTATATGGCCTTTTGCCAGAGCTTACACGCACCCTTAAAGAGCTTTGACCATCCCTCTTCCAGTAGCAATCAGTTAACAATAGTTCTTAGAGAAGGATGGGACTTCATGCCTAACTCCCTCTCCAAATTTGGATTTTCTCAAGTTTGAGCTTGCACAGATTTTGTGCATGGTGTTGCAACAACTACTGTGAATTCATCTGTGCAACCTCTCTGCTCTCCTGGGAAATGATTGCATCTTTATAGTCACGTTTATGGTTAAATTGAGTAAGCTGATTGTCATTGTAGTTCTTGATGAAGATTTTGGCCACAGAAGAAATTAGTTCAAACATGACACTGGTTTGGATCATCTATTACATGGAAAAAAATACTCTTGTCTTGGTTACTTTTTTATTACTGCAACAGAACACCATGATAAAACAATGTATAGAAGAGTTTATTTGGTCTTTGGGTTCCAGAGGGATAAGACCCCATCATTGCAGAGAGGCATGGCCAAGCTCAGTCTTGACTACATCCCAGCTTGGTGAGAGGATTTCTTCTCACACATAGCTTAGGAGGTCCTGATAACTGATGTTTTCTCATAGATGGAGATTCAGTTTTCTTTAAGGATGTGGCCCCTGTACGGGTTGATCAAGCTCCAATACAAGTCTGCACATCCAAGCCTACATGTGAAGCACCACTTGGACTCAACAGGTTTTAAAAATTAAAGAAGACACAAAGTTGGATGAATATGGGAGTAGAGACAGATCTGGGAGAAACTGAGAGAGGGAAGTTAAAGATGATCATAATATATTGTACAAAATTATCACATAACTAATAAAATTCAAACAAAAGAGGTATTTGTGAAATAAAATATGCATTGGTAAATATAATTTACTTCATGTTTATGTACCTCTGTTAGTCTGCTTCTCTCTGTGTCTCTGTCTCTCTCTTTCTGTCTCTCTCCATATATGTGTGTGTGTGTGTGTCTGTCTGTCTGTCTGTCTGTTTGTCTTTGTTTCTTTGTATGGAAGCCAAAGACAGATATGGCTTGAATTAAGGGGCCTAAAAATATTCTCACTTATCAAGAAATAGTGCCCAGCAAAAGAAAAACAAATGAGAGAGATATGTTCAGTTCCAAGTTCCTTAAATATATGGAGCCTCAGTGAATGTGCATACTCAGAAGAAAATTATGTCCTTAGTATGGCTATAGTTTTCCTGGTCCTGCCTGACCCACAGTCAGGACAAATCTCTCTTAACCACCAGTCCTGCAGCCACTCAGACCCAACCAAGTAAACACATAGAGACTTATATTACTTATAAACTGTATGGCCATGGCAGGCTGCTTGCTAACTGTTCTTGTATCTTAAATTAACCCATTTATATTTGTCTATAAGTTGCCACGTGGCTTACTGTTACCTTACATCTCGCTTGTCATGTAGGCAGCTGGCAGCATCTCTCCAACTCAGCCTTCCACTTCCCAGAATTCTCCTCTCTCCTTGTCCTGCCTGGCTATTGGCCAATCAGTGTTTTATTTATTAATCAATCAGAGCAACACACTTAACATGCAGAATATCCCACAGCACCTTAGAACTGAAGCCAGTTGAGATCATCAGGGCATATTGATACACAGCTATTTTCCCAGTGTGTGGGTTCCAAAGAGAAGGATCATAAGATAAGTTCCAATTACAGAAAAAATGAAGAGTGCTCAGAAGTAGGGGTTAGTATTCAAAGATGACAATTATTTCTGAAGATTCAGAGGTCCAACTTGATAAATAAAATATTCAACATGTAGTTCTTAGGAAATTGTCAATGGCCTTGGGATAGTGTGGTATGGGATAAAGAAGGATAAATAAATAAAGCATTTTAAAAGAGGTAACAACATAGACATCAAAATTATAGCATAAATTACCAACAATGTATTATGGCAGAGAGAAAAGCAATATATGTCTCAACCTAAGAGATGATCTCAAAGGAAATACATAACTTATCTTAATCTCTCAGGAGCAGGGTATTTTGTTAACAGTTCCACATTCATTACCAATATACTTAGATTTACATCCAAAATAGTATTGAACTTAAAAGATGAACTAAAACTGAGATTATTTCTGATAAGTCCACCAATATAGTTGGAAGTTTTCTGTGTCCCAGCCGGCCAGCTGTCAGGACAAATCTTTCCCACTTGTGTCCCCCAGGTAAACAGACAGAAGCTTATATCAATTATAACTGATTGGCCATTAGCTCAGGCTTATTACTGACTAGCTCTTACACTTAAATTAGCCCATAATTCTTATCTATGTTTAGCCACGTGGCTTGGTACCTTCTTTCAGTTCTGACTTGACATCTTGCTTCCTCTGTGGCTGGCTGGTGACTCCCCACTCAGTCTTCCTCTTTCCAGCATTCTCCTTGTCTGCTTGACCCACCTGTACTTCCTGCCTGGCTACTTGCCAATCAGCATTTTATTTATCAACCAATCATAACAACACATACTCATAGCATACAGAATGACATCCCACAGCACACCAAACCATGGCTTTTCATGAGTAAAGTGTGAAAATAGGAGCAAAATCAGAAGTTATAGTTAATGACTCAGTCAAAAGACTATTGCAATAGTAAACTCTGCTTTGAAAATGAGGCTAAGGAGTCCATATTGTACCCTTTCTGTAAAATGACTTTGGTTCAGGGAAGAGAACTGCTTTCCCTGATGCAAGGGACAACTGACCAATGGCTTTGAGGAATTAAAAGACTTCCTCAGAATGTAGCACCACTGGGAAAGGAAAATAATTCAGGGGAAATCCACAAAAACAATGTTGGGAGTCATGAGCTGTTTCAAAGAAAAACTAAATTTATTGGAGAATAGCCCAAGGCAGAATGTGGACTTATTTGAGAAATTCTAATTACATGATTATTTGTACAGAACAGTTATTATTTGGGAAAGCATGTAAGGAAATCAATGAAAGAGAAGTGGATAATTAAATATTCTTAGAAATTAAAAAAAAAAAAAAACTAAAACTAAATGAGTACAAAAGAAACACAAGTAGAAAGTGGCAGATCATTAAAAACAAAAGAATTGAAATGTGACCGTGACAACTCAGAAGATAACTGAGAATAACAGATGAAGATCTGGAGTGTGTGAGACAGGTTAAACACAGAGGCCAACAAGCCACCCCGGCAACTCCCTGAAGAAGTGGAGAGAAAGAAAGAAACTGATGGAAACCTAGTCAAGAGGGCGGTGGTGGCGCACTTCTTTAATCCCAGCACTTGGGAGGCAGAGCCAGGCGGATCTCTGTGAGTTCTAGGCCAACCTGGTCTCCAGAGCGAGATCCAGGACGGGCACCAAAACAGCACAGAGAAACCCTGTAAAAAGAGCCGCTACCATGAGACTGAAAGTACTAGCAAAAGTGTTCTGTCTACAGTGTTAGTCTTCAAAAACTGTAAAGGAGTTACATAAAACTGGAATTCTTATTTTCTTCAATACTGGTGAAATTCAAAGGAGAGGATGCAAATGCAAATTCTGATGTAGTTCAGGACTCCATTGTGATTCCAAGGCCAATGTCCACCTCTCACAAATATGCTCACATTTAGGCAAACCTAGTTCCTTCTTTAGATGTCGTTATCTTATATCTACTGCTCTAAGTTCTACATACATTTCATCTAAGTGAATATTTCAGAACATTTCAATATTATCAGAAAATGCACCCATTTTTCAGTTCAACTCATTTTGATAAAATATATTTAATGTATTTATAAATATCATTTAAAATTATTTTAAATAATTTTCCATACATCCAATCTTTTTGATATGCTTATTTCTTAGTTGTGTTCCAGCTTGGACAAGAAAAAAAAGAGAAATAAAACCTATATGCCAAAATCACTGGTTTATTAGCATATTTAAGTTCATTTAGCATACCAATCAATGGGTTTTTAACCAGAAGATTTCATATGTAGCTCTCATTGTAGTTTCTTCTATTTGCCAGTCTCCACCCATGGCCCTCCCCAATACCTGCCTGTGTTCTCCTTGCTTGTCACTCCCTCCTTCCCTTCTACATCTCAACCTCTCAGGCAGCCCTCTCTTCCATTTAACTTCCCATATATTGCATTGTTGGCCCCACCTCTGTCAAGATCTCATCGTCTCCTCTCATGTTCTGCTTTCCAGTTTCATGACTTAAAGTGATGTACTAAGGATGGAGATGGGGAGAGGAGAAAGGAGGGGTGGAATTGTCTTTCTGAATTTGACTTGATTCACTTATCATAATGATTTCTGATTTCCATTCTTAAAAGTGCCAGACAAAAGCAACTTAAAGAAAGAAGTTCTTTGTTGGCTCACAGTTTGAAGATTCAACCCATCTTAAAAGTCATGAAAGTGGTAGGGATGAGATGCAGCTGTGCATAGTGTGACTACAGGAAGCAGAAAGATATCAATACAGGTATCTTGATTCTTCATTTTCATTTTACTTCAATCTGGGGAGCTATCCCATGGGATGTCATCACCCACATTCATCTGTTAAAATGCTCTGAAAACAATTTCCTCACTGACGTGTCCACAGATGGGTTTCCTAGGTGATTCCAAATCTGATCAAGTTGACAATGAAAATGAATGAGCACACAGTTTCCTTCATTGGTCTGAAAATGCCTAAACATTGTTTTGGGTTTTTGTCACTTTTTGTTTGTTTTATTTTGCTTTTAAAGTTAAGTAAAGTTCCATGCACTCTTCTTGCACTTGTCTGTGAATGGGCACCTGGGCTGGCCCTGTTTCCTGACTCTTGTGAGAAGTGAAGCAGTAAATAAGGATCCTTAGAAAACAAAGCAGTTCTCTGTATTCTAAAGTTCTGTTGTAAGTAAATTCCTATAAATAAAATGAAACCCATTTCTCAACCATTTCATATGCTATAGCCATTTCACACAAATATAAGAAAATAAAGAACTATAGAGTTCTTCCCATAAAAATTCATTTTGAAAACTATCAGGTTACCAAGATTGGATAAAATGTTATGATACAATCTCATCAATATTTTACTCTATTTTTTATTACTGAATTTGTGTCGAATATCTCTGATTATTTAAAATTTTTCAAAAGGAGAGAGAGAAAGGAAGAAAAATACATCAAGAGAACCAAATTCTGTGTGAAACCTCTGTTATGGAGTCTGTAATCCCACTGGGAAGAAGAAGGCTCTGTACCCAGAGATGCTTCCTCTGTTAATATCAGCACTGCAGGGGTGAGTTCCTACAGGAAATTGGCATAAAAGCTGCATGCAACATCATTGCTCACATCACAGCATTGTGATGTGTGTTCAACTTTTCTCACATACAAGCTATTTATTCCCCAATTGCTGCTGCTGAAAAAAAAATCTGAATTTGATCCATCTGAATATTATTGGTTTTTATAACTATTTGTGTGTGTGTATAGTATGTGTGTTTGTCTGTGTATATGTGTTGTATGTGTCTGTATGTGCATGTGTATATGCATGATAGTGGGCAGGGGTTGATACTGGGTGTCTTAATCACTCCCCACCTTATTTTTGGAGTCAGGGTTTCTCACTGAAATTGTAGCTCACCAATTCAGCTAGGCTGGCTGGCAAGTAGCCCTAATGATTAACTCTCTCTCCATCTGTCTAGCACCAGGATTACAGGTACATACCACCATGCTCCATACTTCAAACGTATATTGGTGATCTGAACTCAGGTCTTTAGGCATGTGTTGCAAGCAAACTGCCAGTTCAGCTAATTCCCTAGCCCTAGCATCAACTTTAAAATATCAGTACAAGTCTTATCTAATTATTTAAACCAGACACAAATAATCCATTGATCATCCCAAGGCAAACTACTGTCTGGAACTTATGAAGTCAATCAAATAGATTATGTATTTCCAGCGTCCAATGGTGAGAGACACATGGGGCAAGCATCCCCATTCTGAAAGTAAGGAAGGGGGGAAAAAGGACAGCAGGATAGCCAAGTTAGAACACATCAGAGCAATCTTTAAAACATGATTCTTTCTTTAACTGCCTATCCTGTCTATCAGGAACACTGGAGTGGGATAGCATGCCCAGGCCATGGCAACACCTGTCAGCAATCCCATCAACTCTCTAGAAGTTATTGAACCCAAGGCCTCATGTGACTAGACAAGTGCTCTTTCACCGTGGTTTATGCTACATTCCTAACCCTATTATTGGCTGAAATCAGAGATATGATAATAAATCTTTAAAAAATAGTCCCCTGAGTGTATGGTGTGTGTGTGTGTGTGTGTGTGTGTGTGTGTGTGTGTGTGTGTGTGTGAAACATTTTGCCCTCAATGGTTTGTCTTAGCCATGCCTTAATATAAGCCAGCCATACTAAACTTTGAGATTTCATTTTAAAAAGTAAAGCTGAAGCAGCATATGACTAGAAATCCATCTTTGTTTTTCTTATCAAAGCCAATTTATTTTTTTGTATATGATACAAAAAGCTACATGTCAGAAAATGAAAGAATCACCATAAACTAAAATTAAGAAAGCCTCTCTCCTGCTAGTAGTGAGAAGTTTCTAGATTCCTTTCGGATTTAGAAAACAAGCCTCTCAACAGTTAGATGCATTTCTTCATTTGAGTGTTAACATGACACAAAGGTAAATGTTTTGTCTAATGAGAGAAATTAAATAAATGTACTATCGATTGTACGATCCTTTTCAAACTGTTCAGACATCATATATTTAATGTCCATTTGAAATTCTTTCATAGCCATCTATCATTATTTTGAAAACATTGTCACTCAAATTCATCATTGTGATAATACTGAAAAATTAAAATAAACAACCACATAAAAATCTCTATTTGATTAAGGCATGTACATAAACCTATATTTAACATCACACTAATGAGGAAGGACAGAAGGCATATTTTTCCATCTATACAGTGAATGGGGTAAGGATATTAGCTATTCTGAACACATGATTTTTCAGTGAGTTCAATGAGGGAAGATAAACGTTGTAAATTTTTAAGAAGAAACAAAAGAATAGAGACTGAAAAAGAAGTAATAAAACTCTTCTGCTTTAAGGTTCCATGATTGTCTATGTAGGATATCCCAAGTACTGTCTGTGTAAGAAAAACCTCTCAGAACAAATAATTGAGTTCAGAACAGTCACAGTGATTGCATGGACAACAAACTGCATTAAGTTAACTATATATTTTAAATTATTCCAAAAGACTTAAGTTCTTAAAAATTCATAATAGTTATAGTTCTTCAGAGAAATAGAACTTATAAGGCATAGGGAGATAGATAAATGACAGGTGATAGACAGATGACAAATGATAGATTAAAAATAGATGATTAGATAGATGATAGAAAGAGAAGCAGACAGATGTATAGATAGGTGATAGATAAATGTGTAGATAGATGATAGATAGATAGATAGATAGATAGATAGATAGATAGATAGATAGATAGATAGATAGAGGCACACTGATGGATAGATTTTAACACTTAAACACAAGTGATGTAGTTCAGTAAGAGTTGAAAGGCCCAGAACCAAAGGAACTGGTGTAATCCCAGCTTCAACGGCTTAAGCACAGGAGTGTGCTTGCCTAAATCCTAAGTGTGCAGCTTAGATATCAAGAACTCCATTGCTAGGATGCAGAGATAAACAGAAGGTCCAGATGAAGAAAAGAGAACCCATTTCCCTCCTTTGCCTTTTTATTCCGCTCAGTGCCTTTGCACAATCGGACTGGTGAAGAAGATTTTCTAGATCAACATATTCAAATCCTAATTTCTTCTGGAAATGTTGCTCAGATATATCCACAAAATTATGTTTTATGACTACTTGACAATCTCTTAGCCCATTCATGCTGACACATAAAATTCATAGAAGACTACACATGCTGATTAGAGCCTCTAAACCAGGCTATACATTTTTATCTACATGCATGTGAAATGTTTCCTTACTGTAAATAAAAAAGTGCTACAAATAACAAATGTAAAAGGGGAAGATGGAACTATAAACCTAAATTTATAGGTGATAATGGTAAGAGTATTATTTGGTTTCATGTCTTCATTTGACAGTCTACAAGAAAGACCTGTATGTGAACACTTTAGTCTAAAATGTATTAAGTCTCTTAAAACTGAACAGAAAAAAAAAATCCTATCAACAAATACTAAACCACTATAAAAGAAAACATTGTGTTTGAGAGGAAAAAAAAGTTCAATTGGTCATTCAATTAAATTACCATTCCTTCCTAAATTTTCCTGTAAGACATTTTTCATGCATTAATTTTGAAACAATTAACAGTGGATAATTAGAATTCAAAGAAATTCCATTTCCGTACAAGTTATTATTGCAGTCACAGTATTAGATGAGAAACTTGCTTGTTTTGTTTACAATCATCTTCAAGTGACCTTCACCACTGACAGTGGTGACAATTTCAAGCAACTATCACTAAACACCTGTATATTTCCATTTATTGGGCTCAAACTTCCTTTGTATTTTACAGTGCTTTTAAAGTTTTTCACCTGGAGAAAATTATTCCTAAAGTCAGAGACCATGAGCTGGCCCATCAAGCGGCATGTTCTGACAGGTGAAAGTGCTGAGCATGGTGGTAAGTGTATAAATGAGCTGAAGCCTGGCCGAAGGCTGTGCAATCAATCTCACTTTGAAATGGATGGCTATTCTTGATGATAGTTTTGTTTGTGTGCTACTCAATTGAATCTGTAAGGGTAAGTACAGCTTGGAAATAGGCACTGAATTTCTTTTCTCTTAGACAATCAAACATCTTGGTGATAAACTGTTTTTTTAAGAAGTGAATTTATTTAATCTAGCAGCATCAAACTTATGTCATAAGGAATACAAAAAAATATAAAAAAACTCCTAGTTTTCCTTCAGTTAGTTTTGAATTATACATAGGCAGAGTATCATTTACTGTGTGACATGAGTCAAACTACATTCATCTCTAAAATCATATCTATCCTCTCAGTAAAATCTATAATCTTTCCTGCTAACATTACTGTAAATGAATACCAAGTAATCTACAATTTTAGTTATCCTTTGCACCTTCATCATTACCCTAGTGAAGGTAGGAAATCTATGTTCATGATGAATGATATAGTCTATATCTCTAGATGTGAAGTGGATAGAAAAAATGCATTGAGGCAATTTACATATTGGAGAGAAAGTCCTTAGAATTAAAGAAAACCTAGGTAACCCTTTTCCACATCCACAACCATAGGTATAAAGAGTGAATGAGTACTAATATCTACAAACTAGCATAGTCAATCATTTGAAATAGAAGATATATTATCTGATGCAATAGAACTAAAATAGTAAGAAATAAAGCTACAGTATGAAGGCTTAACATTTCACAGGAAGTTTTCATTTTACCTCACTTTGGCTAATTGAATCATTTCCACATGAATGAAATACATGCTAAATTATTTACAGATAATTACATGGTGTGCTGTTGCTAAAATATTAAGACACAGTTGTCCCACAGGAAATATTGCTGCAGACACATCATGAAATGCATTACTGAAGGGATTATGAAGAGGAGTTGATTAAAAGACTCCACTGAAACAGAGCTATCTCTATTGAAATTAATTTATTTTACAGAATATTATAGGTATTTCTAAATTTTGCTTTTCATGAATGGTGACTCCAGTTTCCTTCTTTTAAATTTGCCTGGTCTGTAAACATGGAAATCTCTTTCATTTATATTTATAAGCAATCTTTGAGTGTGATCATGACCACTGTTGATATGGTCAATCTTTTGAAGATCTTTAGAACTGGACCACTCCCTCATAATAAAGAACTTGAAAACCAAGAACTAGAGCTAGAAGTATCTAATTACTATTCAGAGAACTGTGACTGGATTCATATTTCTGTCATGTGGCACCATGGACTGCCTAGGTCATTAATTGATACATATCTAAGCTTTATAAAATTGCTACACAGAAGAAAACTTCCTATAGCACTGCCCCATCCTCTAAGAGGAGAATCAATCGAAATCAGCCTTTCTAATAACTTAAACAGGAAAATACCACTGCAAGGAAATCTGATTGACAGACTTTAGAAATAGTCTAAAACGTGCCTGAAACGTAAATTTGCAACATGTTCTCTCTGATTATGGCCCACTTCTACCCTAAAACAGTTCTCAGCTCACCCATTTCCCCTTTGTTAATTGTCCATCCTCATCCATTTGGGATGCCTCACTTTACTCAAATAAATTCTGACCTTCTTCTAGACTACATTCTTAGAATCCAGTCTGTGTTCTTTCGGGGAGATTGTGGTTGCAGGGAACGGGGAGAATGAGTGATACTAAGGAAAGAGATACATTTGCTGTACAACTGGAGTGAGTCCAGGTTTGTTCAATTATGCCATCATCATTATCTAAATAAGTTCATTGGATCCTACTAATAAACATTGAAACAGTGTTTGCTCTGGAATAATGATGAATATTTTAAATTCTATATTTTTAGGCATTGTGGATATTAGTTAAGTAAAGTTTTGCCTAACTGTTTTCAATGCCATTTTTGAGAAAATATAATTTTTTGCAAACTAACAAACACCAACCTCTCAAACATCAAATTATTGTAAGACAAATTGTTTTCAGTTGCTTTTCTGAAATATGTTTGCCTATCTTTCACTGAAGACTAAAAAGCAACAACAACAAAAAAACAAAACAAACAAACAAACAAAACCCAACATGATCACGGCTTTGTGCTTCTTCATTCTTGCGTCCTTGAGAAGAGTCCCTTCCTTACCAAATCTAAAGCAGTTTCTGTGATCAAATCTCCACAGAATGGACAGAAATATGGCCATCTAACTTGGGATACAGATATTTAAGATGAATCACTCTTATAAAAAGAAAACTCTAAACACTGAACATAAGTGTGAAAAGAGAACTTCACTAAAATCTGAAGTTCAATACTGAATATGATGATAATATTATACAGGGAGTTTCTGACATCATTCATTTTCTATGACCTGCATCAGAGCTCTAGGCAGGGTGAACAGACTTTTGTTCATGCTTTGAAGAAAAAGTCACACAACACTCATCTTATGTAACTGCAATATTATATTGTTTGACATAAATTTCTTTAGTTATCAAGTTCTCTGTCCCTAGTAACCAATATTACAGTTTTTATTTTGACATATTTTGTTAAACTTTACAAGAAACCAAAATTATATAATACTTTTTCTGCATCTGGCTGATTCCACTTAATGTAATATCTTGCAGATTCTCCCATTTGATCACAAATATTTTGAAGCTTTAAAATATTACATTACATATGAGGCACACATATATGATATACAAATATGCAATGTTGAGTCTGTGTGTGTGTGCGGGGGGGTGGGGGGGGGTGGGGGGGGGGAGGGAGCACTTGAGCCACTGTCTTTGAAAAGTACAGCACATTCATCTGTTAATGGTACTTTAGTTGTTTCCATATCTTGGCTGTTGTCTACTTTGTTTTCCTGTCATTGGGACAAAGACATTCTGACAAAGCAGAGAGTATTCATTTTTACAGATAGTTCAATGAACAGCCATCATGTCAGGGGAGTCAAGGCTGCAGGACATTGAAGCAGCTGGTCACATTATGTCTACAGTCAGAAGAAGATAAAAATACATGTATACATGTTAGTGCTCAGCTCACATTCCAGGATGGGCTGCCTAGGGAATCGTGCCACCCAAAGGGAAGGTTTTTCCACCTAGGTAAAAAGAATCAAGACAATATCTAACAGGCCTTCTCGGAAACTCATCTCCCAGGTACTTCTAAATTCTATCCACTTGACAATGAGCTATTATGAACAATGCTGCCATGGTTATAAGTGTGCACATACTCACAAAATGATGTTTTCACTGTAATTTCTTATATAGTTGTCTTAGTTTAGGTTTTCTATTGCTGTGAAGAAACATCATGATCACAGCAACTCTTATAAAGAAAACATCTAATTGAAGTGGCTCACATACAGTTTCAGAGGTTCAGTCCATTATCATCATCATGGGGAGCATGGAGGCATGCAGGCAGACATGGTGCTGGAGCTGAGAGTGCTACATCTTGACCAGAAGGCAGCAGGAAGTTGACTGTCACACTGACTGAAGCTTGAGAAAAGAGACCTCAATGCCCACCCCCACAGTGACATATCTTCTCCAAACAAGACCATACCTACTCCAACAAGGCCTCCTAATAGTGTCCCTCTCTTTGGGGGGCGTTTTCTTTCAAACCACCACAATATTCAATAGAGATATTGTACAAGTTTTATTTCTTATTAGAAATCTTAGTGCTACTTTCCACAATGGTTACACCAGTTTACATTTCCACAAATGATGTATTAGGGTTTCTTTCCCCACATTTTTGCCAAGACTATTATCGTTTTTTTTCTAGTTTAATAGGCATTCTAACAGTTGTAAGGGGTAATGTATCACTGAAGTTTCATCACTAGTATTCAAGCTCCTTTTCATGAACACATTTACCATTTGGAATAACATAGTTAAATAATCTGTTTATATTTATTCAGGTTATTAATTTACTGCATCTAAGTTCTTTGAATCTTTACCATTTTAAATATTTTCTCACAAGTATTTTCTCCCAAACTAGAGGCTGATTTTTCAGGGTTTTTTGTTTATTTGTTTGTTTGTTTGTTTTACATGAGTCTTTTAATTTGACATAGTCTTTTTGTTTATTTTTGTTCCTGTCACCTATATTTTTAAAGTAATGGCCAAGACATCATGGTCATGATGTGTATTAAGAAATTGCTCTTGTGTTACAGGAATTTCAAATTTACTTTAAGGTGATTTTTGCATTTAACTTAACAATATAGTTAGTTGCGTTACTCTGCACATAAATGTCTGATTTTGTCAGCATAGTTTATGCCAGAGACTACTATTTTCCCTATCATGTCTTCTGATGGGCTTTATAAAAAATTGAGTAACCATAATTCCTTTGTTTAAATCTCTAAGCTGTCAATTCTGTTCCATTTATCAGTTTTAATAAGAGTATCATACTATAGAATTAGTTTAACACTATAACATTTCAAAATAAAAATACAATGCCTCTTGGTAAATTTTTGTTCAAGATGTTTTTAGCTTTTCGGGGATTTTTTGCATTTCCACAAAATAAGATTTTACATTTTTTTTGTGAAAATGTCTTCCTTTCTAAATATATTACTAATGGTCATATTTTTGTTTTGTTTATATGCATACATATATAAACAAATCTCTATATATGTAAATATACATATATATATATATATATATATATATATATATATATATATGAAAATAGATTCTCTCTCATACAATAAATCCCAGCAACTGTTTCCCCTCCCTCTACTTCTCCGAAATCCCCCCACCTTCCTCTTCCCTGGATCCACTCCCAGTCTGTCTCCCATCGGAAAAGAGCAGGCCTTCAAAAGACAACAACCAAACATAACAAAACAATGTAAAATAAGGCAAGGCAAGAACCCTGACACCAAAGCTGGACAACACAACATAAAAGGAAGAAAATATTCCCTAGAGCGGGCAAAAGAGTCCGCCGAGCACACCTGCACCTCCAGTTAGGAGTCCTACAAAAACACCAAGCTGATAGCCACAGCATACATGCA